GATCTTTCTGAAATAGTGGCCATTAAACTCGAAAGAGTTAGGAGTGAGCACTAACTCAGCCAAACGTATCAAGGTGTCAATGGCTATAGGGGGGCTGATTCGACCATCTAGAAAGAACCACAAATCCTGGAGCCCATCAGAGTGTGGAACACAGGTGTAGAGGGAGGTAACTTTAAGGTGAAGATGTGGTATCTGGGAGTAGAGGTGACCCGGAGAGATTGAAAAAAGAGATATCATGGTTAGTTGCCTATCCTTAATGCAAGACAGAAGACCAACGACCAGGGGCTGCTGGATACCGTCGAAGAGCCCGGATATGAGTTCCATGGGACAAGCGCAAGCGGACACGATCAGTCTGCCTGGGTTGTCAAGTTTATGTGTCTTAGGAAGCATAGAGAAGCTAGACTTTCCCCAGACAGCTATCCTCGCCAAACAAAGAGCTGGGTGAGAGCAGGTAGGAGTTCGTTCTTGATCAAAGTAGATAAATTCTAGGGTCTCAACAAGTCAAACTTCGGCCCTGACCTCAAGTTAACCCTGTGTTATCTCTACACAATCTGTGTGTGTGTTGTTGTTTTTTTAAGTTGGACAATTTTAGGGAAGAGAAGAAAAAAAAAGGGGGCGGGGGGCTAAAACAAATAGTTGTTTTCAGCTTTACAAAACCAATTTATAGACAGACAAGCCATGAGCTGAAGCAGGTCCTTCTGTATATAGAGAAGACCGTGGCTGAACGTCGTGTAGCTCTCCAGGACTGGAGTCCTACCGGAAATGGATCCTGGCCGGCGAACAGATTTAAAAACGTCCAAGGATCGTCTGAAAATGTAATAAGAAATTCACATTTAACACCAGACTCTCTCTGACGTGTTTGCAGGCTCAACTACTTCCAGTAAGTTTTTCTAAAACATTCGCTCAAAACTATAAAATACTACAGCTTATTACAGTAGATGAAAGGCGTCTGTCACCCCACACAACAGATAAATTAACACTACTACTACACTAGTACTATCATAGTAATAATAATATTAATAATAGTCGGTCTTCATCACTTCACCTGGTTCGTTTCGTTCTGTCTTCATCTTTTGTTTTTCTTTCGTTTACCTAAATTATTATATTCTGCTGTTCTCCTTACATACAATGATAAGAAATTTTCACTCCCCTCCCCCCGCCCCCCTTTTTTTTCGAAGTTCTTTAGTTCATGTTTGTCCAGTTATTTATAAATAATAATTATTGCCATCCTGCTTGTTTCGTTGTCTACCTGTTAGTTTTCACTTTTCTTTCCAGTATGCTTTATGTTATGCTTTTTTAAAAAAAAGTGTTATATCTTCAAATGTTGCCAAAATATTGCATTTATTTCTTGTATAAATGGGCTCTCCTTTAAATACCAATTGCTAGCTGGAAAGCCGACGGTCGCTTAGTGGGAGTTCACTCCCTTGGCTGCATTGCAAATACGGAGCGGACAAGTCACGAATCAAAACAGACAGTGAGCTTGACATCAGGGCTGCCAATGCTTGGGTGTTTCCCTCAGATCTAGGTGTTTTTTTGACTCCTCGGGGACATCTGGGGTTTGTTGTTTTAGTAAATATATCCTTATATAATGGTGCTATTAGTTGCCACGGATGTGACTCCTGCAGATCTGTATGCCTTAATGACTGATAAATTTGCGTGGTTAGGGGTAGGGTTAGGGTTACATGTGACAATTTTGACGCAGGAGTTCCAACTAATCACGCACAGTGACATACACACCCAAACAATTGAAGGACTGTGGATGCTACTCACACGTGGCGTGGATTGGGGCTAAACTAGATGGCTGGGACTCATGAGCAGCAGCTACCGTATCTTCTGCAGCCTCCTTCATTTTATTTATTTGCTTGTGAGTCCTAACCATCTAGTTTAGCCCCAGTCCATAATTATAATAAGCAATTCAGCATCTTTCTTTACTGCAAGGTGAATCTGTTTAATGCTGCTAGCAGGTCTCGGTTTTCATTAGAGGCCAAAAGTTTCATTAACTCAGGGACTGACTATCACAATTCAAGTCAGCACAGGACAAGGAAGCAGTTGGTCGACAAGAAGAAAAATAGCACAGAAGAGTTGGCAGAACTGAAAGAGAAAGCACGTACAAAGAAGTCCCCCTGCTGGCTGAAGCAGAAGCAGATGCTGCAGTGTTACCTGCCAAGAAGGAGAAAGCAGAAGCAGATGCTGCAGTGTTACCTGCCAAGAAGGAGAAAGCAGAAGCAGATGCTGCAGTGTTACCTGCCAAGAAGGAGAAAGCAGAAGCAGATGCTGCAGTGTTACCTGCCAAGAAGGAAAAAGCAGAAGCAGATGCTGCAGTGTTACCTGCCAAGAAGGAGAAAGCAGAAGCAGATGCTGCAGTGTTACCTGCCAAGAAGGAAAAAGCAGAAGCAGATGCTGCAGTGTTACCTGCCAAGAAGGAGAAAGCAGAAGCAGAAGCTGCAGTGTTACCTGCCAATAAGGAGAAAGCAGAAGCAGATGCTGCAGTGTTACCTGCCTAGAAGGAGAAAGCAGAAGCTGCAGTGTTACCTGCCACGAAGGAGAAAGCAGAAGCAGATGCTGCAGTGTTACCTGCCAAGAAGGAGAAAGCAGAAATAGATTCTGCAGTGTTACCTGCCAAGAAGGAGAAAGCAGAAATAGATGCTGCAGTGTTACCTGCCAAGAAGGAGAAAGCAGAAATAGATTCTGCAGTGTTGCCTGCCAAGAAGGAGAAAGCAGAAATAGATGCTGCAGTGTTACCTGCCAAGAAGGAGAAAGCAGAAATAGATGCTGCTGTGTTACCTGCCAAGAAGGAGAAAGCAGAAATAGATGCTGCAGTGTTACCTGCCAAGAAGGAGAAAGCAGAAGCAGATGCTGCAGTGTTACCTGCCACGAAGGAGAAAGCAGAAACAGATGCTGCAGTGTTACCTGCCACGAAGGAGAAAGCAGAAGCAGATACTGCAGTGTTACCTGCCACGAAGGAGAAAGCAGAAGCAGATACTGCAGTGTTACCTGCCACGAAGGAGAAATCAGAAGCAGATACTGCAGTGTTACCTGCCACGAAGGAGAAAGCAGAAGCAGATACTGCAGTGTTACCTGCCACGAAGGAGAAAGCAGAAGCAGATGCTTCTGTGTTACCTGCCAAGAAGGAGAAAGAATCCCTTTAAAGAGAATGCAACTTATTTAAACCAACGCAGAAACCAAGCATCAGCAGGGCCAACAGATGCACAGCAACTGAAGCCAGAGACGTGAAACATAAGGCACAGTCGACCAAGCCTACAAAGAGAGTAGATCAAAGCACTATCACTGAAACACACCTAGAGAAACCAGCCGGAGAAGCAGAAGAAGAAGCCGCCGCAGTATTCCTAGCGACAGAATCGGAAGACGACGATGACGACATTGCATTGACGATGTGTCGGAACTCACCAGATGGCTAGAAAAGTGGAAAAAGCAATTTGGAGAAGTGAGAACTGAAAGAGCAAAAAGGAAGCATATTGAAAGAAAAGTAGCACTAATCAACTCCATTCGAGGCCAGCGCAGTCACCAAAACCCAGCAATTGTCGAGTAAAGCAGCCAGCCAGACATTGAAGTTATTCCAGTCGAAAACTATCAAGGCGACTTCCCAGTGCTGACCCAGATGCGGAGAAAGGGACCCGACGGGACCGATGGCAGAACTTCAACACAAAGTGAGTCAAGCACCCACACAATAAGTACTATTCAGTGATTTGGACACGTTGCTTCCGAAATCCCCAGAACGTCCTATCTCTCTAAAGACAATGACAATGTCTGCTTGATCCATGGGGCGGCCATTTCACTTAATGCGGCACCCACTAGTCTGTCGGCTCTTTCATTACCAACAACACCTGCATGCCCTGGGACAAATATTAAGGTAACTGCACACAAGGAGAGTTTTGCAATGACTTAATCCCTTGTCTGCCTAATCAGCCTGCCTCAACCTGCCGGATTAAGCTCAAAGAATCACTCAGCACACACAAGTGGGAATAGTCGTGTGATTCTAGCCATGTGAAAGCTTGTGTCACCACCATCACCTCCATCGTCATGCTGCTGGTAGTCATGGAAAAGGCACCGCTGGCTTCTTGAACTGTTCTGCCTGAAGAAGGAGCTGTAAATGCCTCAGCACTCTTATGACCTCGTATAACGGACCCGTCTGTGAAGATGACCACATCTGTCTCATCTGACTTGTCACTGATAAGCGAGCATACCTCGGCATTGACAGCAGCAGGATTCTGCTCCCGACAACTCCCATCGAGCGTCACGACACAGGAGAATGTGAGATTGGGTGCTTTAGATGCTGGTATCCATTCCCCACCTGGATGGATGTCTGTAAGGCTGCAAACCTGTATGATGTCATCCTCTGCCCTACCCAGTCATGATGTGCCCTTATTGCCTTATTTCCTGAAGAGCATGTGGTGCAAAGGGTGCTTCAGATCTGAGCTTATCTTGAGATATGCACGTGCCCTCCAGATCTTGATCCTGTAGTTCATGGTAGGGAAGTCAAGAAGATACCTCACTGCTACACAAGAGGTGTCTCCAGTATACCCCAGAATAATGCACATTGCTTCGTTTTGCACCTTCTTAAATCTTTCAATCTGGGTATTGCATAATAATCGAGCTAAGCATCCAATTGATAACCTTCATCAGGGCTTTCAAGTTGTTTACTCATGGGCAGAAATTGTGAAAATAGAGCTTGTCAGGGCAGAGACTAGAAACCCTGGATAGAACGATCATGAATACAGTACAACTTGCAGTAGTCTTCAAGTGACTTGCTTGGACTCTACAGGCCAGATGTGGTCCACGGGGTGCCAGCTGAGTAGTCCTCACTGACATTATCATCATCATCATTGGCAATGCTTTCACTGAGTTTATACGGCATACAGGGACCAGCCAGTGATTGGACTCCTGGAGAGAAGGTGTTGTTTTATTGATGATTTTAGTCTGTGTATCTCTGGTTAATGTTCATCTTTGTTGGATGTTTCAGCATCTAGCATTTTTGCAAAATGCCAGCCTTGTCGACTAAACAGCAGATGACGATTCATGTACTCAGTTTAGCAGTGGTGTCCCTTGCTGTCCTACTGACCACTGCTCTTCAAGCAGACATTGACCTCTCCAGATACAATGAGGGCAAAAAGCAGTATGAACTTGTTGAGCAGAAGTCACAGATGCCCAAATATGGACAGTGTTGGCGGGATGCCATGTCAGTTATGCAGACAGGATGCCGCCGGTTGGATGATGTGGTTCAAAGCCGGCTGGCTCTGTCATATCTCAACTGTTTCCTACAGGTCAGTGTTGTTGATTAGATGAAATGTTCCTCTCACTCATAGGTCTCTTAGATTGTTCTACATAGGTCTCTTAGATTGTTCTATATATGTCTCTTATATTGTTCTTCAAAGATCTCTAACACTGTTCTACAAAGATCTCTAAAATGTGTACATTGAGTTTTAAGGAATGGGTCGATAATTGACTTAGGATCCAGTGACTGAAATTTAGAAGTACGGTTGTGAACCAAGAGATTAGACGGTTGTTGGTAGTACAGTTGTGGACCAGATTAGAGGCTTGTGGGTAGAACAGTTGTGAACCAGATTAGAGGCTTGTGGGTAGAACATTTGTGGACCAGATTAGAGGCTTGTGGGTAGAACAGTTGTGGACCAGATTAGAGGCTTGTGGGTAGAACAGTTGTGAACCAAGAGATTAGACGGTTGTGGGTAGTACAGTTGTGGACCAGGAGATTAGAGGCTTGTGGGTAGAACAGTTGTGGACCAGATTAGAGGCTTGTGGGTAGAACAGTTGTGGACCAGGAGATTAGAGGCTTGTGGGTTGAACAGTTGTGGACCAGGAGATTAGAGGCTTGTGGGTAGAACAGTTGTGGACCAGATTAGAGGCTTGTGGGTAGAACAGTTGTGGACCAGATTAGAGGCTTGTGGGTAGAACAGTTGTGGACCAGGAGATTAGAGGCTTGTGGGTAGAACAGTTGTGGACCAGATTAGAGGCTTGTGGGTAGAACATTTGTGGACCAGATTAGAGGCTTGTGGGTAGAACAGTTGTGGACCAGATTAAAGGCTTGTGGGTAGAACAGTTGTGAACCAAGAGATTAGACGGTTGTGGGTAGTACAGTTGTGGACCAGGAGATTAGAGGCTTGTGGGTAGAACAGTTGTGGACCAGATTAGAGGCTTGTGGGTAGAACATTTGTGGACCAGATTAGAGGCTTGTGGGTAGAACAGTTGTGGACCAGATTAAAGGCTTGTGGGTAGAACAGTTGTGAACCAAGAGATTAGACGGTTGTGGGTAGTACAGTTGTGGACCAGGAGATTAGAGGCTTGTGGGTAGAACAGTTGTGGACCAGATTAGAGGCTTGTGGGTAGAACAGTTGTGGACCAGGAGATTAGAGGCTTGTGGGTAGAACAGTTGTGGACCAGGAGATTAGAGGCTTGTGGGTAGAACAGTTGTGGACCAGGAGATTAGAGGCTTGTGGGTAGAACAGTTGTGGACCAGATTAGAGGCTTGTGGGTAGAACAGTTGTGGACCAGATTAGAGGCTTGTGGGTAGAACAGTTGTGGACCAGGAGATTAGAGGCTTGTGGGTAGAACAGTTGTGGACCAGATTAGAGGCTTGTGGGTAGAACAGTTGTGAACCAGGAGATTAGAGGCTTGTGGGTAGAACAGTTGTGGACCAGATTAGAGGCTTGTGGGTAGAACAGTTGTGGACCAGGAGATTAAACGGTTGTGGGTAGTACAGTTGTGGACCAGATTAGAGGCTTGTGGGTAGAACAATTGTGGACCAGATTAGAGGCTTGTGGGTAGAACAGTTGTGGACCAGATTAGAGGCTTGTGGGTAGAACAGTTGTGGACCAGATTAGAGGCTTGTGGGTAGAACAGTTGTGGACCAGGAGATTAGAGGCTTGTGGGTAGAACAGTTGTGGACCAGATTAGAGGCTTGTGGGTAGAACAGTTGTGGACCAGATTAGAGGCTTGTGGGTAGAACAGTTGTGGACCAGATTAGAGGCTTGTGGGTAGAACAGTTGAGCAGTGTGTATTTGAAGAGTTGGGAATGGTTAATTGAGCAACTGGAGAATTGTAGTAGTATAGTTTTTAAAAAAAAACTGATGCACAAGAAATTAAGAAACAACTCATCAAGTCTTTGGAAAGCAGATAAGTTATGTTATCAGTCTCACATAGACACTTGTTCAAGTCCCTAGTAAACGGTTTGGGTTTACTTAAGGTTTGTTGTTACAAAAACTTCACCAGTCTCTTGCTTGCTTGATTCACATCTAGTAGCTTGTCTCCCATAAGTTTTACGTTTATGTAGAAGGATAAACAAAACATTAGAAATGAGAATCCTCAAATGTACGTCTACTTAGCTTTGTTTTATGGTGTTAAATCTTGGACAGTGAACAAGAAACTAGAAAATTGAATTGCATCTCTGAAAATGTGGATATACAGAAGAATAGATAAGATTTCATGGAAATAAAAACAGTTAAATACAGAGGCTCTAGAAAGACTACGAATGAAAAGAGAATTACTGAAACATAAAAGAGATAGCTGAAATATTTTGGCCACATTAAAAGACATTACACTCTATTAAAAACCGGACTGGACGGAAGGGTCAAGGGCAAAAGAGCACGATAACAGGTGGAAGACAAAATCAAGACATAGACAGATATCAGCCTGAGAGAGTGTACAACCAGGAGAAGAGACAGAGCATGTCACAGATCCATTGCAACCAACTTTCACTGTGGAGATGGCACCTGATTGTAGTCTGATGTAGTGAGACATCATGAATGATAACAGAGAAATAACTGGGTTGTTTTTTTTTTTTTAAATATTGTCACTTTTGTTTTCCATTTGTAAAATGTTGAAAAAAGATTGTATCTTTTTTATGTTAATGCTTCATAATACTCTGTTGTGTGCTCGTAAATTGTGGATGCTGAATAACAGGAGTAGACGCTGGAGGCCACGGAGATGTAGTTTCTTTATAGAATGTTACCTATGTCAAGGACAGCCAAGCTGGCCAAATAAATACTAGAAGAGGGCTCATTGACAAAGTTAGAAGTCTGAATCAGGGCAAGGCAGTGATAACTGTTGTAGCCTGGTTGTGTCATGGCAAGGCAGTGATAACTGTTGCCTGGTTTTATCATGGTAAGGCAATGATAACTGTGTAGCCTGGTTGTATCATGGCAAGGCAATGATAACTGTATAGCCTGGTTGTATCATGGCAAGGCAGTGATAACTGTTGCCTGGTTTTATCATGGTAAGGCAGTGATAACTGTGTAGCCTGGTTGTATCATGGCAAGGCAATGATAACTGTATAGCCTGGTTGTATCATGGCAAGGCAGTGATAACTGTTGCCTGGTTTTATCATGGTAAGGCAGTGATAACTGTGTAGCCTGGTTGTATCATGGCAAGGCAGTGATAACTGTGTAGCCTGGTTGTATCATGGCAAGGCAGTGATAACTGTGGCCTGGTTGTATCATGGCAAGGCAGTGATAACTGTTACCTGGTTGTATCATGGTAAGGCAGTGATAACTGTGTAGCCTGGTTGTATCATGGCAAGGCAGTGATAACTGTGTAGCCTGGTTGTATCATGGCAAGGCAGTGATAACTGTGTAGCCTGGTTGTATCATGGCAAGGCAATGATAACTGTGTAGCCTGGTTGTATCATGGCAAGGCAATGATAACTGTGTAGCCTGGTTGTATCATGGCAAGGCAGTAATAACTGTTGCCTGGTTGTATCATGGCAAGGCAGTGATAACTGTTGCCTGGTTGTATCATGGGAAGGCAGTGATAACTGTGTAGCCTGGTTGTATCATGGCAAGGCAGTGATAACTGTGGCCTGGTTGTATCATGGCAAGGCAGTGATAACTGTGTAGCCTGGTTGTATCATGGCAAGGCAGTGATAACTGTGGCCTGGTTGTATCATGGCAAGGCAGTCATAACTGGGTAGCCTGGTTGTATTATAGCAAGGCAATGATAACTGTGTAGCCTGGTTGTATCATGGTAAGGCAGTGATAACTGTGTAGCCTGGTTGTATCATGGCAAGGCAATGATAACTGTTGTAGCCTAGTTGTATCATGGCAAGGCAGTGATTACTGTGGCCTGGTTGTATCATGGCAAGGCAGTGATTACTGTGGCCTGGTTGTATCATGGCAAGGCAATGATAACTGTGTAGCCTGTTTGTATCATGGCAAGGCAGTGATAACTGTGTAGCCTGGGTGTATCATGGCAAGGCAGTGATAACTGTGTAGCCTGGTTGTATCATGGCAAGGCAGTGATAGCTGTGTAGCCTGGTTGGATTATGGCAAGGCAGTGATAACTGTGTAGCCTGGTTGTATCATGGCAAGGCAGTGATAACTGTGGCCTGGTTGTATCATGGCAAGGCAGTGATAACTGTTGTGGCCTGGTTGTATCATGGCAAGGAAGTGATAAGTTTGACCTGGTTAGGAGATGAGGGAGCCTAGAGAGGGTTGTAGCAGCTGGGAGTTTGCCGGGTGGTTTGGCAGAGTGGCACGGATGATGAAAAGCTGTAGGGTTGAACCGGGAACGTGTTTATGGGGATGCATGGTCACCTGTTTAGCTCAGCATAGAACAGAACATTGAAGATCATATAGGTGTTCCTGGTTAGGTTGTTATATATAACCTGAAGCCATATATACAGCATCTGATTTTATATACAATGTCAGGTCTTTATACACACACACTCACACACACACACACTCACACATATATATATATTTATAGACACACACACATATATACACATACGTATATACACGCAAACATATATATAAATATATTCATACATGTCAGGGACCTACTTTACTCTATTCACTTTATATGGCTGGCTAGGTACGCCAGCTAACAGACTTCACTAGCCTAGACACACTTAAGACACACTCCTGCTGAGTACAAACATAATCTTTAATGTACAATGAACAAAAGACTTTAGACACCTCAACTGAGTAGGCAGTTCCTATCCGAAACCCCTGGCGTTGAACAGCTTTACAATCGCTGGTCAACCCAGACCGGTCCCCATGGATCTACAAGGAACACAACTCCTAGCTGACAGTTTATCAGTGTTAATAAGCCGCCGTCTTTTGCCACACAGGACTCAGCGACACATGTAAGGTGTATGGCCTAAGCGTGACTGGGCAGTGTTACCGCCATTACAATGCGCGTCACACCTTTACTTACTGCCCAAACAAATACTGCATGGAATGTCTACTATACAAGGAACATTAACTCTACACTATCTAGTTGAAACATTAAATGGAAACAAAACCTAACAAAGTTACTAAACACAAAGATCCTATTCAACTAAAACCGTTACTAACCTAATGTAATTTTACCTAGTCGAGCACTACGTCTTGTCTCGTCCAGTCCCAGTACACAACTCCCCTTCAACCAGCTTGGAGAAAGCTTTTTGTTCCGGGGCCTGAGCTCACGGCTGGACACAGTAATCCGTGTCACCTGTGTGAACTGGGCTTGGTCCATTAACTGGACCCAGTTTATTCCGTGGTCAAGCTGCCCGCTCTCATACTGAGTTGTACTGAAGGTCAACTCGTTCATACTTGATGATTCACTATCATCAGCTTTGTCCGTCCCATAGCTGAACTGGCCTCTGACAATACACACACACATATACACATGCCTATATAAACAAACATATAAATTGAATGCATTATTGTATATAACATCTAGACATACATAATTTGCCAGTCTTGTATGTAACATCTAGATATATCGAATTTTCCAGTGTTGTATAAAACATTTAGGCATATGGAATCTTCCAGTCTTGTATATAAGAGCTAGATGTATAGCATTTTCTAGTTTTGTATATAAGAGCTAGACAAACAGCATTTTCAAGTCCTGTATATAACATCTAGACATATGGAATTTTTCAATTTTGTATATAACATCTAGACATAAAATTATCTACTTTTGTATAAAACATCTCGACATATAGCATTTTCAAGTCCTTTATATAAGAGCTAGACATATAGAATTTTCCAGTCTTGTATAAAACATCTAGACATATAGAATTTTTCAGTCTTGTATAAAATATTTAGACATATAGAATTTTTCAGTCTTGTATAAAATATTTAGACATATAGAATCTTCCAGTCTTGTATATAACATCTAGACATATAGCATTCAAGTCCTGTATATAACATCTAGACATATACAAATTTCCAGTCCTGTATATAACATCTAGACATATATAATTTTCTAGTCCTGTATATAACATCTAGACATATAGAATTTTCTAGTCCTGTATATAACATCTAGACATATATAATTTTCTAGTCCTGTATATAACATCTAGACATATAGAATTTTCTAGTCCTGTATATAACATCTAGACATATAGAATTTTCTAGTCCTGTATATAACATCTAGACATATATGATTTTCCAGTTCTGTAGATAACAAATAGACATATACAATATTAAAGTCCTGTATATAACATCTAGACATATAGAATTTTCTAGTTTTGCATATAAAACCTTGTCATGTAGATATTGTTAAAGTTTCTTATATGCAGTGACATGTTTTCCAAACTGAATACTATTAAGATGATGTCAAATTGCTGCCTCCCCAGATTCAGGGAAAAGTCACTTACCCATGCTCAGGAGATTCCAGACTAGAGGTGTGTGTCCGTGACATGAGTGATCCAGATCGCAGCTCCTTTGCCACATTCTTTGCTCACACCCAGGACATCTGTTACTTCTTGCAGGCACAGGTTTGGCAAGAGCTGACGGAGGGCACCATCGGACGGCTTGAAGCCAGCAGCTCACAGGTAAGTAATTGATTGAGCAGAGACCCACAATGGAATTGGGCTGTAAGATTTAAAAAGTTGTTATGGTTGATATAATTTGATTAAATGAAACTGTATTGTCACTAAGCTGAGAATTGAAACTATAGAAAACAAAACAGTTACTAAATTGGTGTTGATGGGGCAGATAGTCTGGCACTTTCCACATACGTCAGGCATTCTGTTGCACAAAACGTAATGTAATTTATAGCATCATCCGCAAAAGATGTGTGAAATACATCAGTTTAACTAAGTTAAGAGAATTTGACAAAGGGAAGCACAATTGTCACTAAGTTGAGAGAATGTGACAAAAGGAAACACATTTTGTCACTAAGTTGAGAGAATGCGACAAAAGGAAACACAACTGTCACTGAGTTGAGAGAATGTGACAAAAGGAAACACAATTGTCACTAAGTTGAGAGAATGTGACAAAATGAAACAAAAGTTTCACTTAGTTAAGAGAATGTGACAAAATGAAACAGAAGTTTCACTAAGTTAAGAGAATGTGACAAAATGAAACAGAAGTTTCACTAAGTTAAGAGAATGTGACAAAATGAAACAGAAGTTTCACTAAGTTAAGAGAATGTGACAAAATGAAACAGAAGTTTCACTAAGTTAAGAGAATGTGACAAAAGGAAACACAATTGTCACTAAGTTGAGAGAATGTGTCAAAAGGAAACATAATTGTTTGAAGTTGAGAAAAAAAGTTTAGAAAGTGTGACAAAATAAAACAGAATTGTTATTAAATGAAGAGAATCTGACAAAATTAAACAGTATGGTCACTAAGTTAAGAGAATGTGACTAATTTTAATATGTGATGCGAGGGGAGGTATTGCCTATTTGGCAAACGTGTCTATGGTGATGATTTTATTTCACTCATACACGCAAAAGTTCCCTAGTTGACAATCGCGGCTCCTGGGTTCCCTACAGGTTAATACTGAGGTAGCACAGGTACACACAGGCAACATCCTACCACCAACACTACAACAAAGAGTCAACACCAACACTACAACAAAGAGTGACCACCAACACTACAACAAAAAGTCAACACCAACACTAAATAGACCATTAAAAGACATCTGTGCATCAGTGGAGCTTATTCATGGACCAGCACATTAGGACAGTGAATTGTTAGCAAATGACTGAACACTGTCTATTGAATTCTGCCAAGTATACCCACTGACAGATTCCAAAGGGGGCACCTAGCCTGACTTGGCAGGTCCATGACAAAAGTTGTGTCCGGCATATGGGCCCACTCCTGTGGTCACCAGTAGCCTGTAACAGCAAATATTGCTGGATGAGCTGGGCTGACTGACAGGGAAGTGGATCAAGAGTACTGCTATCAAATGACCTACATTGCTATATAAACAACCCTTGGCCCCCACCCACACTGTGAAATATAGTCCGCCAAATAACTGTGGTCGTATGGAGTATCTGGATCCCACCGTCTTGTCACTCTTACTACCATCACTGATAGCATTGTCACTCTTACTACTATCACTGATAGCATTGTCACTCTTACTGCCATGACTGATAGCATTGTCACTGTTACTGCCATCACTGATAGCATTCAGAATAGTACACCAAATTCCACTGCCACAATTCCGACGCTCCATGGAAATAAAATAACACATTATCATGAACAAAAGTCACACATGTCTGCTCTGTTTCACTGACTGAGAGGCACTGACTTCTGACACGGGATCACGTCCAGCGGCTGCCCACACTTGGGTCTCACACTACTCGTGTAGCCGGTTACTTGACTAGCAAAGTGAGTTCAGCACACAACACTAATCACACATGTTAGTCTGTTATATTAACACATTTCATGTCAGTTTTGAATAGCACCTGTGTGCCAGGTGTTGTAGCTTTGTGTTTTGCAATAAATTACTTAACTTTTGTGGTTTTTTAATTGAAGGTGGCTGAACAGTTAGAGACATCCCACAGACTGCAGCAAGATTTGGCTAGCAGCCAGAACCTGAGCCTCCACAACCAGGAGAGATTGATGAGCCAGGCACAGAACCTAAGTGACATCATCAATGCATCTTCTAAAAATGTTCACTTTTTGTTTGAGGACCTTAAGGTTAGTCCATCAGCATCTTATGCTGTTTGTCCCACTTTAAGGTCTGTCAGCATCCTATGCTGCTTGTCCCACTTTAAGGTCTGTCAGCATCTTATGCTGTTTGTCCCACTGTAAGGTCTGTCGGCATCTTATGCTGTTTGTCCCACTTTAAGGTCTGTCGGCATCTTATGCTGTTTGTCCCACTTTAAGGGCTGTTGGCATCTTATGCTGTTTGTCCCACTTTTAGGTCTGACAGCATCTTTTCAGTGGTCAGGTAATTCAAGTCACATTCTCCAAGTGACAGCTCACAGTTTTTAAATATTTCACATTCTTTAAATGACGTGTCATTCAAAATCCATCATTATATGCCCCACACTCTGCAAAGTTCATTCCACACTCTTCATATAACATATTTATTATTTACATGTCCCTCTACAGGATTTCTCTCTCTCTTAGGAGGCACAAATAAAACCTTAACCCTCAGTATACAGCGACTGCATAGCTATGTGACCCTGAATCGTTGAACTCAACCAAGGCCAGCCTTAAGTTGGGCTAATACAGACTGTGTCATTTGTTTGGTTTCATGTTTGCTCTACACTTCAGGCTTTCAGTTTCTGTTTCTTGATGTCCTATACTCGGGTTCTGGGGCCCCTTTTGGGGGAGAACAAGAATGGAACCACTGCCTCCTCAGCAGACATGTCATAGCAGTCGACTAATTGGGGGCTTCCTTCGAAATCTGCCTCAGAGGCAAGGAACCAAGAATGTGCATACAAATCAGTCAGATTTATCAAATGGATGTGCACACAACACTCTGGTTCTGGTACAAGACTAAAGTCCAGAGGTGGATAAACAACCAGAACTTTCTGCCCAAGTTTACAGCCGGTGAACATAAAGAAGAAGATATACACCTCCAGAGTACATGTATCTTTTTATTCTCTTATTTTTGTGTTTTTTCTTCTTTTTTTTAAATAAAATATGAAAATACAAATTTCAGAAATTATTTGAATTGCTACGAGGCAACTCTTTACATGCCATGTTTGTTTCCCAGAAATCTACTCTAGAACAGCGCCAGATAATTGGAGACCTGTTTGACCAACTGGCAAAACTTCAGTCGACCATCTTGGGAGAAATTTCTGGCTTCTACTCGCTGTTCTACTATGTCCTGTCGGTGTTCGTCTGCTACCTGCTCACGTCTGCATCCCGCACATCAGGTACACTGTAGTTTGATTGTTGCCTGACTGTGTTGAAGTCCAAGCATGATATTCTCATTTAGGTTTAGATTATCACGTCTTGTTTTTGCTGACAACTGAGTAAAACTTATATTAAAGTTGTCAGATGACCTTGAAGGTTCTGCCTTGAAGTGATAGATGAATGTTTGTGTCCCTGCGTCTCCACCTTATATTGGTGCACTGGTTAAATATTATGTATGTGTGTGTGTGTGTATATATATATATATATATAAATATATATATATGTGTGTGTGTGTGTGTTAGATAAAAAACATTTAGTGAGTTTTGTACATATTTGTTTTGCTCTTTTCTGATAATAATTTTAGAAGCTCTGTTGTCTTTGTCTTTTAAGTCCAAATTTGTGCACCCCGTTGACAAAGACTTTGGTCGAAACTTTTGTTTGTGTTTCTGCTCGTCTTTTCCATCCCCTTCATTAGGCTGTCTAGTCACATTTTATGTTTAATTGAGCACTAATTTGTTGGTGATAAATCTTAGTTAGTGACACGTGAGAAATCAAGGCACATAACCAACGAATGGTACTACTAAATATAAAAAGGTTTCTTGAAGAGATGAATGTCAAATTCTTAGTTAACTGTTTGTCCATCTGGAATTTCCTCATATTACTATTGATTATTTCGTTTTCTGTTTCCAAGACAAAATGGCAGACAGGCTTTTCCCTTTGTCAGCATTTGTAATTTCCTACCATTGACTTTACCGCCTGTCGTAGCAGGTTGTGGTTTCTCACATTTCATTGACTTTACCGGCTGTCATAGCAGGCTGTGGTTTCTCACATTTCATTGACTTTACCGGCTGTCGTAGCAGGTTGTGGTTTCTCACATTTCATTGACTTTACCGGCTGTCATAGCAGGTTGTGGTTTCTCACATTTCATTGACTTTACCGGCTGTCATAGCAGGTTGTGGTTTATCACATTTCATTGACTTTACCGGCTGTCATAGCAGGCTGTGGTTTCTCACATTTCATTGACTTTACCGGCTGTCGTAGCAGGTTGTGGTTTCTCACATTTCATTGACTTTACCGGCTGTCATAGCAGGTTGTGGTTTCTCACATTTCATTGACTTTACCGGCTGTCATAGCAGGTTGTGGTTTCTCACATTTCATTGACTTTACCGCCTGTCGTAGCAGGTTGTGGTTTCTCACATTTCATTGACTTTACCGCCTGTCGTAGCAGGTTGTGGTTTCTCACATTTCATTGACTTTACCGCCTGTCGTAGCAGGTTGTGGTTTCTCACATTTCATTGACTTTACCGCCTGTCGTAGCAGGTTGTGGTTTCTCACATTTCATTGACTTTACCGCCTGTCGTAGCAGGTTGTGGTTTCTCACATTTCATTGACTTTACCGGCTGTCATAGCAGGTTGTGGTTTCTCACATTTCATTGACTTTACCGCCTGTCGTAGCAGGTTGTGGTTTCTCACATTTCATTGACTTTACCGGCTGTCATAGCAGGTTGTGGTTTCTCACATTTCATTGACTTTACCGGCTGTCATAGCAGGTTGTGGTTTCTCACATTTCATTGACTTTACCGGCTGTCATAGCAGGTTGTGGTTTCTCACATTTCATTGACTTTACCGGCTGTCATAGCAGGTTGTGGTTTCTCACATTTCATTGACTTTACCGGCTGTCATAGCAGGTTGTGGTTTCTCACATTTCATTGACTTTACCGGCTGTCATAGCAGGTTGTGGTTTCTCACATTTCATTGACTTTACCGGCTGTCATAGCAGGCTGTGGTTTCTCACATTTCATTGACTTTACCGGCTGTCATAGCAGGTTGTGGTTTCTCACATTTCATTGACTTTACCGGCTGTCATAGCAGGTTGTGGTTTCTCACATTTCATTGACTTTACCGGCTGTCATAGCAGGTTGTGGTTTCTCACATTTCATTGACTTTACCGGCTGTCATAGCAGGTTGTGGTTTCTCACATTTCATTGACTTTACCGGCTGTCATAGCAGGTTGTGGTTTCTCACATTTCATTGACTTTACCGGCTGTCATAGCAGGCTGTGGTTTCTCACATTTCATTGACTTTACCGCCTGTCATAGCAGGTTGTGGTTTCTCACATTTCATTGACTTTACCGGCTGTCATAGCAGGCTGTGGTTTCTCACATTTCATTGACTTTACCGCCTGTCATAGCAGGCTGTGGTTTCTCACATTTCATTGACTTTACCGCCTGTCATAGCAGGTTGTGGTTTCTCACATTTCATTGACTTTACCGGCTGTCATAGCAGGTTGTGGTTTCTCACATTTCATTGACTTTACCGGCTGTCATAGCAGGTTGTGGTTTCTCACATTTCATTGACTTTACCGGCTGTCATAGCAGGCTGTGGTTTCTCACATTTCATTGACTTTACCGGCTTAGCAGGTTGTGGTTTCTCACATTTCATTGACTTTACCGGCTGTCGTAGCAGGTTGTGGTTTCTCACATTTCATTGACTTTACCGGCTGTCATAGCAGGTTGTGGTTTCTCACATTTCATTGACTTTACCGCTGTCATAGCAGGTTGTGGTTTCTCACATTTCATTGACTTTACCGCCTGTCGTAGCAGGTTGTGGTTTCTCACATTTCATTGACTTTACCGCCTGTCGTAGCAGGTTGTGGTTTCTCACATTTCATTGACTTTACCGCCTGTCGTAGCAGGTTGTGGTTTCTCACATTTCATTGACTTTACCGCCTGTCGTAGCAGGTTGTGGTTTTTCTCACATTTCATTGACTTTACCGCCTGTCGTAGCAGGTTGTGGTTTCTCACATTTCATTGACTTTACCGGCTGTCATAGCAGGTTGTGGTTTCTCACATTTCATTGACTTTACCGGCTGTCATAGCAGGTTGTGGTTTCTCACATTTCATTGACTTTACCGGCTGTCATAGCAGGTTGTGGTTTCTCACATTTCATTGACTTTACCGGCTGTCATAGCAGGTTGTGGTTTCTCACATTTCATTGACTTTACCGGCTGTCATAGCAGGTTGTGGTTTCTCACATTTCATTGACTTTACCGGCTGTCATAGCAGGTTGTGGTTTCTCACATTTCATTGACTTTACCGGCTGTCATAGCAGGTTGTGGTTTCTCACATTTCATTGACTTTACCGGCTGTCATAGCAGGTTGTGGTTTCTCACATTTCATTGACTTTACCGGCTGTCATAGCAGGTTGTGGTTTCTCACATTTCATTGACTTTACCGGCTGTCATAGCAGGTTGTGGTTTCTCACATTTCATTGACTTTACCGGCTGTCATAGCAGGTTGTGGTTTCTCACATTTCATTGACTTTACCGGCTGTCATAGCAGGTTGTGGTTTCTCACATTTCATTGACTTTACCGGCTGTCATAGCAGGTTGTGGTTTCTCACATTTCATTGACTTTACCGGCTGTCATAGCAGGTTGTGGTTTCTCACATTTCATTGACTTTACCGGCTGTCATAGCAGGTTGTGGTTTCTCACATTTCATTGACTTTACCGGCTGTCATAGCAGGCTGTGGTTTCTCACATTTCATTGACTTTACCGCCTGTCATAGCAGGTTGTGGTTTCTCACATTTCATTGACTTTACCGCCTGTCATAGCAGGCTGTGGTTTCTCACATTTCATTGACTTTACCGCCTGTCATAGCAGGCTGTGGTTTCTCACATTTCATTGACTTTACCGCCTGTCATAGCAGGTTGTGGTTTCTCACATTTCATTGACTTTACCGGCTGTCATAGCAGGTTGTGGTTTCTCACATTTCATTGACTTTACCGGCTGTCATAGCAGGTTGTGGTTTCTCACATTTCATTGACTTTACCGGCTGTCATAGCAGGTTGTGGTTTCTCACATTTCATTGACTTTACCGGCTGTCATAGCAGGTTGTGGTTTCTCACATTTCATTGACTTTACCGGCTGTCATAGCAGGTTGTGGTTTCTCACATTTCATTGACTTTACCGGCTGTCATAGCAGGTTGTGGTTTCTCACATTTCATTGACTTTACCGGCTGTCATAGCAGGTTGTGGTTTCTCACATTTCATTGACTTTACCGGCTGTCATAGCAGGTTGTGGTTTCTCACATTTCATTGACTTTACCGGCTGTCATAGCAGGTTGTGGTTTCTCACATTTCATTGACTTTACCGCCTGTCATAGCAGGTTGTGGTTTCTCACATTTCATTGACTTTACCGCCTGTCATAGCAGGTTGTGGTTTCTCACATTTCATTGACTTTACCGCCTGTCATAGCAGGTTGTGGTTTCTCACATTTCATTGACTTTACCGGCTGTCATAGCAGGTTGTGGTTTCTCACATTTCATTGACTTTACCGGCTGTCATAGCAGGTTGTGGTTTCTCACATTTCATTGACTTTACCGGCGGTCATAGCAGGTTGTGGTTTCTCACATTTCATTGACTTTACCGGCTGTCATAGCAGGTTGTGGTTTCTCACATTTCATTGACTTTACCGGCTGTCATAGCAGGTTGTGGTTTCTCACATTTCATTGACTTTACCGGCTGTCATAGCAGGTTGTGGTTTCTCACATTTCATTGACTTTACCGGCTGTCATAGCAGGTTGTGGTTTCTCACATTTCATTGACTTTACTGGCTGTCATAGCAGGTTGTGGTTTCTCACATTTCATTGACTTTACCGGCTGTCATAGCAGGTTGTGGTTTCTCACATTTCATTGACTTTACCGGCTGTCATAGCAGGTTGTGGTTTCTCACATTTCATTGACTTTACCGGCTGTCATAGCAGGTTGTGGTTTCTCACATTTCATTGACTTTACCGGCTGTCATAGCAGGTTGTGGTTTCTCACATTTCATTGACTTTACCGGCTGTCATAGCAGGTTGTGGTTTCTCACATTTCTTTGACTTTACCGGCTGTCATAGCAGGTTGTGGTTTCTCACATTTCATTGACTTTACCGGCTGTCATAGCAGGTTGTGGTTTCTCACATTTCATTGACTTTACCGGCTGTCATAGCAGGTTGTGGTTTCTCACATTTCATTGACTTTACCGGCTGTCATAGCAGGTTGTGGTTTCTCACATTTCATAAAAAAAGACCAAAAGCACTGGCTTGCTTGGATGTCAGAGCAGTGTTGACTTGCTTGGATGTCAGAGCAGTGTTGACTTGCTTGGATGTCAGAGCAGTGTTGACTTGCTTGGATGTCAGAGCAGTGTTGACTTGCTTGGATGTCAAAGCAGTGTTGACTTGCTTGGATGTCAGAGCAGTGTTGACTTGCTTGGATGTCAGAGCAGTGTTGATTTGCTTGGATGTCAGAGCAGTGTTGACTTGCTTGGATGTCAGAGCAGTGTTGATTTGCTTGGATGTCAGAGCAGTGTTGACTTGCTTGGATGTCAAAGCAGTGTTGACTTGCTTGGATGTCAGAGCAGTGTTGACTTGCTTGGATGTCAGAGCAGTGTTGACTTCCTTGGATGTCAAAGCAGTGTTGACTTGCTTGGATGTCAAAGCAGTGTTGACTTGCTTGGATGTCAGAGCAGTGTTGACTTGCTTGGATGTCAGAGCAGTGTTTCCCCATTGTGGATTTGAACAAAGAAGACCCAATTACTAGATTGTGCAATTTATTGCCTGGCATATTTCTTGTATTTCATCAGGTGCATACTAAAGTAAAAATTGATTAAAATGAAGCAAATAAATGAATCATTGTAACTGAAACACAAACATCGACTACATTCACAGGGTTATCCTTTTCTTGTGACCAAAACATTTTTTTTTTCATTTCTTAACAACTTTTTATGTAAATGGGAAATCCTACAGAGTGGTGACCATGGCTTGAACTTACAGGGCGGATCTTTACTTTATTTGTCAGCTAATTATATTTAGAGAAAATTATTTGCTCACCTCTTGTACACAGTAACTGAATCCACAGGTGGGTTAACTTCTTGTACACAGTAATTGAATTCACAGGTGGGCTAACTTCTTGAACACAATAACTGAGTCTACAAGATGGCTAACTTCTTAAACACAATAACTGAGTCTACAAGATGGCTAACTTCTTAAACACAATAACTGAATCCACAGGTGGGTTAACTTCTTAAACACAATAACCGAATTTACAGGTGGGTTAACTTCTTAAACACAATAACTGAATCTTCAAGAAGGCTAACTTCGTGTACACAATAACTGAACCCACAGGTGCAAGATTCTGGCTGTTTCTTATCATGACAATAAATGTAATCATTGAACAATCTGTGATGAGATGGATCTCTTCGTCGACTTCCCTGTTTGGCACAGATGATGCTGGCAATGTAAGTATCTGATCTTTGTTACATATCATCACAGCATTGCTCGACATCAGCTTTCTTCTTGGTAATCTATGCAGTCGTTTACCTCAGTATTCTTATCTTAATCTCCCACCTAAATGTAACAGAGTGAGCTCATAGCTTGTTTGTTAGGAGGCACAAAACTAGAATATTAGGAGATCAACAAGCTTTGGTAACCTTACCATTCCCTTTTCCAGAATCTTCTTTTCCCGCCAAAACTAGCTGTTGACGTCATTGTCTGGCCTTGGCCTTCTTTCTAGAAGTTTTGAAATGCATTCTTTTCATCATGTGACCCAACCTTGTCGTACTAGTAAATACCTTGTTGTCATGCCCTATCAAAGCAAACGCAATTCTACTTGTTTTTTAGAAACTTCTATGACCTCAATTGTCAGTTTAACTACTATATCTGCGTAGAATAGGATGATGAAATCTGATGCAATCGAGATATAATTAGCAAATCCCACATGAGAACGTACATAGTAAACAAGTTTAGACGTACTAGAATATTCTAGAAGCACAAAGAGCGAGAAGAAAACAAATACCTAGCATTCCAGTATCCAAGTATAAATAGTGAGTAACAAAGCACTTTAGCAATTCTTCAGTCCACAAGACTCAAGAGAGGAGAGACCAGTCACATGGGCTCCCAAGACAGAGACGACACACAATATACATGGATCCATGGAGAACAGAGACATATTAGGAACACTATGGAGATGTTATAGTCAACGATCAAGATGTTAGTACCAAACAGCACTAGAAGCCAGGTGGCAGTTAGAGACACTAGAACCAGTTAACAAAGTAACTAGAGATGAAGAACACAACGCAAATCTACGAGTATTTAACCATCGAGAGAACACAGCGCTATTCAGAATATCATTGAGGTATTTGTGACATTGTTGTGGTATCATAATAAAGACAGTATAAACGAGAACTGTTGTTTCCAGCCATTTTATTATACAAGCATCAGAGTCACGTGAGAAGCATGCAGCTAGCAAGACATCATCATCATCATCATCGTCACTATCGACACGACCGTCTTTCTCCTCGTTTATAACCTTCCAATCGACTCCTCCTGTAGCAAACCTAAGAACGAACCTGGGTGTGACATCGACGTACGCCACAAAGTAGAGAGAGCTGTGCTACATAAACTGTCTCAGCATTCCCATATCAGAGATGAGTTTCAAGCATGTCATACCAGTTCTTCTGCAACAAATTCCACTTAATACTTTGTGTTCCTGTGATCACAACATAAATTCAACTTAACAAAGTGTTTCAAGATAATGCTTGGTCAGAGGATGTGCTTTTTTTTTTTTGCAGACGGTTTACTGTCAAGAGGCAAAATAAGTGGACATTTTGTGAGGGGCGCCTAGCATATGATACCACCATCTAGCTTGTGAGTAGATGTGGAGAGGGTCACTGCAGCTTTCTGCTGGTTAGAAAATACGACAGACACACACACACATCTATCGTTATTGTAACTGACTCAGAAAGCATGCTGAGGAAGGTCTGGACAGGCATGCTTTGTGCAGAGTGGCATGCTTCATATGCCAGTGTGTTGGGAAATGAACAGGTGGACAGACTGGCTGACTGCGCACAACTTGGGGGAATACTGATGTGTGATAAGGCAGACGTGGCTAGTGTCATGTGGGAGAGCGTGTACACTTTGGAGGAGCGAATGGATCACTACAGTCTGGTGAGACTGATGCAGCGGGTAGTGATGAGGGGTTCTGGTCGAGGCTCAGAGAAAAGGCAAGACAGCCATTTAATCAGAATGCAACTAGCACCATTGGTATTGGAACTCTGCGTAGGCTGCTGAAGATGGGGGCAGATCGCATAAGGAAATACCCCGAGTGCTGTGATGTTGGTTTTTGAATCAACTCAGCTCACCTCAAAGTATCTCTGTGTAGCTGACTTGTTGTCCATCATGTGTGGTTTGTTTGTTATAATAATGTCACCGATGTAAGAGAACATTGAATTCTTTGGATTTGTTTATTTATGTTTCTCAGTTAACCTAAGTTTAGAAGTTGAAAGGTCATGTAAAAATTTACAAGCCGGACATGAATGATACAGATATTGAGGTGTATTGTGGTAGCAGGATGCCATGGAGTGTGTTGCATGCAGGGGGAATCAGGAATAGAAAAGGGATCAAGTAGAAACTAATTTCAGGTAAGTTCAAAACTGAGTGGGAAGAAGCCCATTACATGTGATGTCCACAGCTGTCCTGAACACCCATGCTCTAATTGTGAAAGACTTCTGAACACACGCAGGTACTAGTCAGGCGCCAGGGCTGTGACTCCCGTGCCATGGGCTGTGACTCCCATGCCATGGGCTGTGACTCCCGTGCCATGGGCTGTGACTCCCATGCCGAGGGCTGTGACTCCCGTACCATGGGCTGTGACTCCAGTGCCATGGGCTGTGACTCCCGCGCCATGGGCTGTGACTCCCATGCCATGGGCTGTGACTCCCGCGCCATGGGCTGTGCCTCCTGTGCCTGGCTACAGCATGATGTAAGACTGTTACCCTATAGTCTAGAAAGGTGCCTACCTAAACCCAAGCTATTCCTAAATGAACAGTTTTTATTATCTACATACTACCTAAAACTGTTGACTGTTTCCTGTGAAGATTGTTGTGTGTCTGCAGGAGCGACTCTACTGGCTGCAGAGACAGTGTCGGAGGGTCGCCCTGGTGCTGTCGCTGCTAGTGCTGGGCTTGTGCGTCTACTTGTACAAGGACATCAATGCTATCAATAACCGGCTGCTGGTGGAGATCAGGAGACAGAACTCTGACCTGTGGAGATTTGTGACAGGTAACTGCTGAGACATGAGCTTTGTGACAGGTAACTGCTGAGACAGGAGCTTTGTGACAGGTAACTGCTGAGACATTAGCTTTGTGACAGGTAACTGCTGAGACATGAGCTTTGTGACAGGTAACTGCTGAGACATGAGCTTTGTGACAGGTAACTGCTGAGACATGAGATTTGTGACAGGTAACTGCTGAGACATTAGCTTTGTGACAGGTAACTGCTGAGACATGAGCTTTGTGACAGGTAACTGCTGAGACATGAGCTTTGTGACAGGTAACTGCTGAGACATGAGCTTTGTGAAAGGTAACTGCTGAGACATGAGCTTTGTGACAGGTAACTGCTGAGACATGAGCTTTGTGACAGGTAACTGCTGAGACATGAGCTTTGTGACAGGTAACTGCTGAGACATGAGATTTGTGACAGGTAACTGCTGAGACATTAGCTTTGTGACAGGTAACTGCTGAGACATGAGCTTTGTGACAGGTAACTGCTGAGACATGAGATTTGTGACAGGTAACTGCTGAGACATGAGATTTGTGACAGGTAACTGCTGAGACATGAGCTTTGTGACAGGTAACTGCTGAGACATGAGCTTTGTGACAGGTAACTGCTGAGACATGAGCTTTGTGACAGGTAACTGCTGAGACATTAGCTTTGTGACAGGTAACTGCTGAGACATTAGCTTTGTGACAGGTAACTGCTGAGACATGAGCTTTGTGACAGGTAACTGCTGAGACATTAGCTTTGTGACAGGTAACTGTTGAGACATGAGCTTTGTGACAGGTAACTGCTGAGACATGAGCTTTGTGACAGGTAACTGCTGAGACATGAGCTTTATGACAGGTAACTGCTGAGACATGAGCTTTGTGACAGGTAACTGCTGAGACATGAGCTTTGTGACAGGTAACTGTTGAGACATGAGCTTTGTGACAGGTAACTGTTGAGACATGAGCTTTGCTGCTAGCTGCTTGTGGTCTCTCTCTCTGAAGGTGGGCATATCTTTGTGTAGTTGCTCTTCTGTTTTGATGCATTCACATCTTAGTCTGTGTGGGGAAGAAGGGGGGGGGGGGGGGGGGGGGGTTGGATAGACACTAACATTTCATTAAAAAAAAGAAAACACAATTGTGAGTTTTCTTAAATTGTATGTGTTGGGCTAGAGGGTGCAGATATCACAGCCTAGCTGTAAACCACAACACAGTGTGCCAGCTGCCTTTTTTTAAGGGTAGCTTAAGAAGAAAAGAGTTACTTCCAGTCATCAGTGCAAATACCACTTGTCAAAATGATCACAATTACAGCCTTTCAGTACACATACAACCTATCCATACCGTCAGCACAGGCACAACATGAACTTACACATACCAACTGTCAGCACAGACAAAACATGTCCTTACAAATACCAACTGTCAGCACAGACACAACATGTCCTTACACATACCAAATGTCAACACAGACACATGTCCTTACACATACCAACTGTCAGCACAGACACATGTCCTTACACATACCAACTGTCAGCACAGACACATGTCCTTACACATACCAACTGTCAGCACATGTCCTCCCACATACCAACTGTCAGCACAGACACATGTCCTTACACATACCAACTGTCAGCACAGACACATGTCCTTACACATACCAACTGTCAGCACATGTCCTCACACATACCAACTGTCAGCACATGTCCTCACACATACCAACTGTCAGCACAGACACATGTCCTTACACCTACCAACTGTCAGCACAGACACATGTCCTTACACATACCAACTGTCAGCACAGACACAACATGTCCTTACACATACCAACTGTCAGCACAGACACATGTCCTCACACATACCAACTGTCAGCACAGACACATGTCCTTACACATACCAACTGTCAGCACAGACACATGTCCTTACACATACCAACTGTCAGCGCAGACACATGTCCTTACACATACCAACTGTCAGCACAGACACAACATGTCCTTACACATACCAACTGTCAGCACAGACACATGTCCTTACACATACCAACTGTCAGCACATGTCCTCACACATACCAACTGTCAGCACATGTCCTCACACATACCAACTGTCAGCACAGACACATGTCCTTACACCTACCAACTGTCAGCACAGACACATGTCCTTACACATACCAACTGTCAGCACAGACACAACATGTCCTTACACATACCAACTGTCAGCACAGACACATGTCCTCACACATACCAACTGTCAGCACAGACACATGTCCTTACACATACCAACTGTCAGCACAGACACATGTCCTTACACATACCAACTGTCAGCACAGGCACAACATGTCCTTACACATACCAACTGTCAGCACAGGCACATGTCCTTACACATACCAACTGTCAGCACAGACACATGTCCTTACACATACCAACTGTCAGCACAGACACAACATGTCCTTACACATACCAACTGTCAGCACAGACACATGTCCTCACACATACCAACTGTCAGCACAGACACATGTCCTTACACATACCAACTGTCAGGACAGACACAACATGTCCTTACACATACCAACTGTCAGCACAGGCACAACATGTCCTTACACATACTACCTGCCATTACAGCCATAAACGTGTCCTTACACATACCACCTGCTGTTGCAGCCATAAACCTGTCCTTACACATTTAACCTGTCAGCACAGGTACAACCTGTCCCTACACATAACACTTGTCAGCACGTCATGTATGTAGACAAACAACTGATAGGCATTTTGTATTCTCTGTTTATCAGTAAGACAATCTTTCTCTTGCAGGCAACCTGGAGACGTTGACTGGGCATGTGACCGGCTTGACAAGTGGAGTGACACCAGGTATCTCACTTCAACTAGTTGTACATCTAATGTTAGACTGTGCCAGAAAATTCATTGATTATAGAAATCAATTACTTGCTAAGAAAAGTTTGAATGTCCGATAGAAACCCTAAGATGAATGTTATCTAGGTATCCTACTGGATCCAAGATACCAGACAGATATCACAGTATTGAACAGCATGCCAGGAAGGTGATGTTGATGATAAGGGAAGTTCATGTTGTCTTGTTCACATTTTAAAGAGTGTGGTTTTCACTTTGGGTTTCATCTGAGCTCATGTATGTTTATTTTCCCCCTTGACAACAGCCGAGTCAACAGACAGTGATTATACCAGTGACAATGAGGCAGATGACAGTGATGCTGAATCAGACAAGACTTTTATCCTGCCTCCAAGCCATGATGACACAGATACAGACAGCTTTAGGACACTGCAGGACGTAAGTCAAACATAAACTGCTGTCTGGTGTCACATATGTCATACAGAAGCTCATGAAACTATAATTAGCCAACATAAATACATATTTGTCAGCTGGATATCCAGTGTTAGAAAAAGAGATAGTTGCAGCATTGCCCAAAACCTGTTGATGTGAATTTAAAAAAACATTATGTTTGTCTTAACTTCATAGTCATGCTGTGTGATTCTTTGTCACTTGTATATTGAACAGTCATTCTTGTGAACATTGGCCCACAGAGGCAGCCATCCTTGTGAACATTGGCCCACAGAGGCAGCCATCCTTGTGAACATTGGCCCACAGAGGCAGCCATCCTTGTGAACATTGGCCCACAGAGGCAGCCATCCTTGTGAACATTGGCCCACAGAGGCAGCCATCCTTGTGAACATTGGCCCACAGAGGCAGCCATCCTTGTGAACATTGGCCCACAGAGGCAGCCATCCTTGTGAACATTGGCCCACAGAGGCAGCCATCCTTGTGAATATTGGCCCACAGAGGCAGCCATCCTTGTGAACATTGGCCCACAGAGGCAACCATCCTTGTGAACATTGGCCCACAGAGGCAGCCATTCTTGTGCACATTGGTCCACAGAGGCAGTTGTTCTTGTGCACATTGGTCCACAGAGGCAACCATACTTGTGAACATTGGCCCACAGAGGCAGCCATACTTGTGAACATTGGCCCACAGAGGCAGCCATACTTGTGAACATTGGCCCACAGAGGCAGCCATACTTGTGAACATTGGCCCACAGAGGCAGCCATCCATGTGAACATTGGCTCACAGAGGCAGCCATACTTGTGAACATTGGCCCACAGAGGCAGCCATACTTGTGAACATTGGCCCACAGAGGCAGCCATCCTTTGTGAACATTGGCCCACAGAGGCAGCCATCCTTTGTGAACATTGGCCCACAGAGGCAGCCATCCTTTGTGAACATTGGCCCACAGAGGCAGGCATCCTTGTGGACATTGGCCCACAGAGGCAGCCATACTTGTGAACATTGGCCCACAGAGGCAGCCATCCTTGTGGACATTGGCCCACAGAGGCAGCCATACTTGTGAACATTGGCCCACAGAGGCAGCCATCCTTGTGGACATTGGCCTACAGAGGCAGCCATACTTGTAAACATTGGCCCACAGAGGCAGCCATACTTGTGAACATTGGACCACAGAGGCAGCCATCCTTGTGGACATTGGCCCACAGAGGCAGCCATTCTTGTGAACATTGGACCACAGAGGCAGCCATCCTTGTGGACATTGGCCCACAGAGGCAGCCATACTTGTGAACATTGGACCACAGAGGCAGCCATCCTTGTGGACATTGGCCTACAGAGGCAGCTATACTTGTGAACATTGGCCCACAGAGGCAGCTATACTTGTTAACATTGGACCACAGAGGCAATGCAAACTTGTGAAAATTGGCCCACAGAGGCAGCTATACTTGTTAACATTGGACCACAGAGGCAATGCAGTCAAACTTGTGAACATTGGTCCACAGAGGCAGCTATACTTGTTAACATTGGACCACAGAGGCAATGCTGTCAAACTTGTGAACATTGGACCACAGAGGCAGCTATACTTGTTAACATTGGACCACAGAGGCAATGCAGTCAAACTTGTGAACATTGACCCACAGAGGCAGCCATCCATGTGAACATTGGCCCACAGAGGCAGCTATACTTGTGAACATTGGCCTACAGAGGCAGCCATACTTGTAGACATTGGCCCACAGAGGCAGCTATACTTGTGAACATTGGACCACAGAGGCAGCTATACTTGTGAACATTGGACCACAGAGGCAGCCATACTTGTGAACATTGGCCCACAGAGGCAGCTATACTTGTGAACATTGGACCACAGAGGCAGCCATACTTGTGAACATTGGCCCACAGAGGCAGCTATACTTGTGAACATTGGACCACAGAGGCAGCCATACTTGTGAACATTGGCCCACAGAGGCAGCTATACTTGTGGACATTGGACCACAGAGGCAGCCATCCATGTGATCAAATGAGGGACCCCTTTATCACACCCAGAGGCCATGTTTAAGAATCTCATTCTTCTTTTTCCCCAGCAGAAAAGCCGGGTTGTTCATCCAATTTGACTTGAGCTTTGTGCCAGGGCCTTGTTTTGCATGTACATCCGTTTGACTGGCTCATTTGCATACAGCTGGGTTGCACTGCAACTTTAAAAGAAGTTCTCAGTTAGTTGACTCTTACGGCATGCTTTTTTTTTAAAGGGAAGGGGTGGGGGGTAGGCAGTGTGTGTTTCTTGGTGCTCCAGAAGATTGACTGCAATTATGAAGAAATCTGCTAATGAGTCAACTGTTAGGACATGATTGTTTGGGGAGGCAGTGGGTCCCTACACTGGGGCCCTGGGACCCACACGAGGAGACCAGCATTCAAGACTGGGGTTTCTGTTGATGTACAGACACATGTAGTCAAGCTGCCTGTTACAACTCTACAACTGTGAATGACCCGTGTGTGGCATCAAAACCAAATGGTTCTGCAATGTGCCATTTTGTGAAGTAATTATTGTTAACATTCATCTAGTTCGTCAATGATTAACCTGTGATGTTCTTTTCCAGGATGATGTCAGTGACGTTGACCGCTTGTCCTTGCTTGATGAACTCAGTGACCTCCAGAAGGTCACAGAAAGCAGTAGCCTCCATATTGAGTCCTGGCTAGAAACTTCCTATGGTCAGTTTCATCCCAAGGATATTTGTACAGCAGTTGTTACTTTGATTATGGCACTGTTGCTGTTAAAACATTCAGCATCACGCATTGCATTTTCCACAGAACAACCTATTTAATTACTGATAAAGCTTGAAGAATGTGTGTGTGTGTGTGTTTTTTTTTGTATTGTTAAAAGAATGGCACATTGGTAGTTATTTGGGCAGTACGATGTTTCTTTTTTTTTTTTTTCAAGTTTACTTTATTTAGGCACTAAACACAGCAGTGTTTTAAGTGTTCCAACTGTCTATATTTACAAATGAGCTGCAGGGCAATACTTTATTATTTCCCCTGGGCATTCATTTACCATTTGTTGTAAAAAAAATTGTAAAACATTTGGGGGAAACATCCACAATCTGGGCCTAGTGAGTGCTGTGCTCAATCATGGTCTCGGTTCGGTGAGGGAAAGGAGACCTGCAGCACCTTACCTATTGTATTTTGGTAGAGGTCACGTGAAGAAAAGTACTGAGGCAGTGGGTCAGGTGAAGAAATGTACTGTGGCAGTGGGTCAGGTGAAGAAGAGTACTGTGGCAGTGGGTCAGGTGAAGAAGAGTACTGTGGCAGTGGGTCAGGTGAAGAAGAGTACTGTGGCAGTGGGTCAGGTGAAGAAGAGTACTGTGGCAGTGGGTCAGGTAAAGAAAAGTACTGAGGCAGTGGGTCAGGTGAAGAAATGTACTGAGGCAGTGGGTCAGGTGAAGAAAAGTACTGTGGCAGTGGGTCAGGTGAAGAAGAGTACAGTGGCAGTGGGTCAGGTAAAGAAGAGTACTGTGGCAGTGGGTCAGGTAAAGAAGAGTACAGTAGCAGTGGGTCAGGTGAAGAAGAGTACAGTAGCAGTGGGTCAGGTAAAGAAGAGTGCAGTGGGTCAGGTGAAGAAGAGTACTGTGGCAGTGGGTCAGGTGAAGAAGAGTACAGTGGCAGTAGGTCAGGTGAAGAAGAGTGCAGTGGATCAGGTGAAGAAGAGTACTGTGGCAGTGGGTCAGTTGGAGAAGAGTACTGTGGCAGTGGGTCATGTAAAGAAGAGTGCAGTGGCAGTGGATCAGGTGAAGAAGAGTACTGTGGCAGTGGATCAGGTGAAGAAGAGTACTGTGGCGGTGGATCAGGTGAAGAAGAGTACTGTGGCAGTGGGTCAGGTAAAGAAGAGTACTGTGGCAGTGGATCAGGTGAAGAAGAGTACTGTGGCAGCGGGTCAGGTGAAGAAGAGTACTGTGGTAGCGAGTCGGGTGAAGAAGAGTACTTTTGCAGCGGGTCGGATGAAAGTCTGTACATTGCTTTTGGCTAAACTCTGTCCAAAACTGAGACTACTTGAGGTCAACAGACTGGTTTATGAGTTCAGACTAAAAGTCTTGCAGAGAATTCACATCAGCCAACCAGGTGATTCTGTTATTACAGTTACTTTTTAATTGTCATAACATTTACTTTCTGATTCTGTCAATACTGTTATTTGTATTCTTGCTAGGTAGCGGGAATGCAGATAACACAAGTAGACAAGACTCTGGGGTAAGTTGCAACATTAATATGTCCTCTAGTACGTTACTGGACATTTCTGTTTGTCAGACTTAGTAGCATTAACCCTTTAACCACATACAAATCTTAATGTTTTTTTATAACTTTTTTCTTCAAATTTTGTCAGAGGACAAAAGCATAATTCCATGAAACTCTGCCCTAAGAAACTAGAAGAAGAGGAAGAAGCAGAAGGAATTTGATATTTTGAGTCTTGGTCAGTTTTTATAAATACCCAAGTACCAAAGGGCTTGAACACCCAGCTCAGCCAGAAGTTAGGCAGACATGAATGTCTTTGCTTCCTTGATGACATTACATCAGTTTAAAAAAATGTTTTCACTTACTAAATGTCTAAAGCAGGGAAATATTTATTTCTGCATAAAGGACAGTAATCACTCAATACAGAGCAGAGTAAATTGATTTCCTTCCCTTGGACCATTTAAAAAATGGTTTAGGTCACTTAGCCACAGAAAGCAGTGTGCTATAGTCATGAAATTATAGGATGTCATGCTGAATCCCTAATATTGAACCAAAAAAGGGAGAAAAAAAACTTGAAACAAAATCAACACATTCTATCGAGAAAAGGGGGGGGGGGGGGGGTATACAAGGCGTGTTTTTAAGTAAGTCTTGGTAAAAAAAAATGTAAAAACTATCATATATCAAAATGATTTATTGCAACCAAAATTAAAACACACATTTATATTATTTCTCAACAAAGTCACCATTGGCTTCAACACATTTTTGATATCGTGGCACTAGGTTCTCAATTCCAATGTCATAGAAGTCAGCCGTCAGTATCTTGAACTTTTCATTGACACCTGTCTGCAGTTCATCATCAGTTTCAGACCCCTGGGATACCTGGCACTTGTTGAGGTGCATGAAAAGGTGGTCATCAGGGCTGTAGGGCTGGGGGTCAACAATTTCCTAGTGACCTTTTTGCAACAATTGAACAATTGATTCTGTGACATGAGGTCGAACATTATCATGCAAAAGCAGGATTCTAGAGGACAGTAACCCACATCTAGTTTTGGATGGCACTCATTTTTTTTTAAATCCAAGGTTTCTAGTCACAATGTTGTAAATCAGTGAATGTGAAACTTACAAAAATTTGACAATCAATGCAACAATTGTGAAATGATGATTTTCCTGAATTTTGTGATTCACTTCTTCAACAAAATTGTCTGTCACCACACTCGGCCGACCGCTACAATCTTTATCATAGATATTTGTTCGCCCTTAATCAAACACAATTTCCTAAGTGTACTATCAGTGACAACATCTGGCCCATAAACCTCAGTGAGTTGCCTGTGAATGTCTGCAGCACTGTTGTTGTTTCTCACAGAAGAAACAGATGACAGCACAAACCTAGCAGCTGGTGGGAGTGGTTATATTTGCACTCATTATAAATCCCTCACACGCAGCATCCAATAAGATTTCAACAATGAACAAATACATACAGCATATGCACTTTTTTTTCCATCAGTTTTTGTTGCTGTGGTCAAAACTGGACTTACTTAAAAACGTGTCTGCACACTGTGCAGTTGCATCCAGTATCAGAGCTGTTCTGCGGGCATACTAGGCACTGTCCAAAGACATGTCAATCAAAACCCGTAAAACCAGGCAAATTGATTTTTCAAGCTAGACTGTTAGGGGCCTAATTTCCATGCCAAACAAAACATTTATACCTGGCTGCGACAGTTTCTGTGTTGATTCTCAAATCTGTTCATAACTCTTGACGCTGAGTGTACAATACTAGTATTCTGTCTGCCTGTGTGGTTTTTGGGGGGCCCATTGATTGGGAGGGGAGGGAGGCAATGCCCCTTGAAATGAGTTCCAGATCCTGTTCTGTCAGCACCAAATGAGTTCCAGATCCTGTTCTGTCAGACACCAAATCAGTTCCAGATCCTGTTCTGTCAGACACCAAATTTCTAGATCCTGTTCTGTCAGACTCCAAATGAGTTCCAGATTCTGTTCTGTCAGACACCAAATGAGTTCTAGATCTTTTATGGCCATTCTATCTTTACTCTCATTTCTCCCAGACTTTAAAGTGATGTGTACATACTGCCTCCAGAACCCTCTGACTGTACCACCCCTTCCCCCATCTCTCTCACTCTCTCTCCGTTTCTCTCTCTCTCTGTTCACTGTGATATTTCTTGCATGATGCATTTTCTATTGATGTTTGATGTTTTCTTGAATGATGCTCGTAAACATTTGTGTCAGCAATGTGCTATTATCAGCCTTTTTATGTAACTGCTTGTCTTGACTTATACGTCTTAATGAAACAATGTATTTCATTACCTGTATTGTAGCTTTCTATTCATGTGATACCATCTTGAATCATGCTTTTACACATTGAGGTCACATGTGTATTATTTGTATTATACCCAGGGGTCGCCGTACAACCTGCGCCCGCGGAGGTCGGGTCGCGGTGGTAACATCAGCCCAGCTGCACAGGTGGAGACTGCCAGAAGCTTCAGCAGAACCGTCCACCAGATGCAGCAGATTGCAGAGAAGAACAGTCGTCTGATCAGGGCCATGCAGCAACATGGTCACCGGCCTGGCACCGCGGCGGCTGGCAGTCATTTAACACCAAAACTTGAGAATGGTGCGGCCAGGATTCAACCCTACCATGTGGATGATGCTGATAAGAGTAGTATGCTTACTAGAAGTAGTCTAGCAAGTTCTAGAAAACACTAGACAAGTGTTCATTCATCTTTGTAGTAAATTATCTGTGGATAGTTCTAGCATGAGGGCATCGTAAAGATACAGGAAAAAAGGGGTTAGTGGCAAATTGTAGCCTATCCTTGGTGAGGAGATGACACCTCATTGATTGAATGATGATGTTAGATGATTTGACAGTGGCATGGGATTTAGTTAGCATTGTTGATTCATTTAAAAAAAGGGGAGGGGAGGGGTGATAAAGTGGTTTGTGGGAGGCCTGCTATCTAACTAATCCCATCGGGTTTGTAGCCTGCATGCTGTGTCTACCGCCAAGTCTGAAACAGTATAGCTGGCACAATCAGTGTCGTGCAGTTCAGGGGGTTCGAGTTGATGACAGCAGTGATTGTCAGGCTTGGTCCAGGCCACAAAAAACTGTCTTCATCTGGTCACTAGGTAACCTTGGCTACTAATGGTAAATGTTCTTCCATCTAGGACAGATTAACAAAGACTGTTTGTTGTATATAGAGATGTGTACGAGATGTGTACATGGTGTGGCTAGGACACATTAACAATGCTACTATGTTTGTTGTATGTAGAGATGTGTACATAGTTTGGCTAGGAGAAATTAACAAACACTACCATGTTTCTTGTATATAGAGATGTATACATGGTAACACTGGAGCCATCGTAGTGTAGCGGCTGTATGCTTGCTCCTGGTGGAGCCAGACTTTTCAAAAACTTGGCTGCCAGGTTGTCCAGCCTTAAATGCGTAGCAGGCAAATTCCTTGGAAGTAAAGGTGGTTGGTGTGGTGCTGATCACATCACCCACCAATTGCTGATTGGTCTTTACAATTGAGATCTGACATCACTGTGTGTGTGTGTGTTTGCTTGCTGTACATGTGTAAATTGTGGCGTTGTCATAGTTGTTGTATATAGGAACATGTACATTGTAATATTGCCTTCCATCTTTTATTGTAATCAGTGATTTGTATTTTGGATTCAAAATTATGTTTAATTTATTGGCACACTGGCTGTTTAGTTTAGTTGTTTCTGTAAAAGTCTGTGAACTCAGGAGTAACCTGCAAGAAATTGTCTTATTTGATAGGAATATCCTGTTCAACCTTTCTATATTGTGAAGAGAATATGCATTGACTTGTTGCTTCTAGCTAGTGGTAACAATTACAGTTGGAGATAAGAATGTGAATATCCTTGGATGTATGCAGAAGAAAGAATTATTGAATCCTGCTGCCTTGCAGTCTGTCTCATGTGTGCTTTAATTCGTGTCTGACTCTGATGATCTTCGATACCTTGTGGTGCTGGTAGTCATGTCTATACACAACAAGCTTGTTTCACGTACTTGTAGTCATTTCTGGCACAGATATTTCCTCATACCATGGTATCAAACTATCCACCTTGTGCCTCTTCTTCTTCTTCCTTCCAACTTTCCCACCATGATGTCCTGAAGTTTTTTGCTTCCTTTAAAGTGAGCTAATCATCTGTCTCCTTCTGGCAGGAGGAAGACAATCATCATGTTTGTTTTATCTAAATTTTATCACAATTGTTGTCAATGCCATAAATAGCAAATGACAATGAAATAAAACTACTCTATTTACTGACAGATTGACTGTTTCCTTGTGTTCTATGTGGATGTGAATGGTGAACAATTAGTCATGAAATTGTGAAGACACTAGGGAATGTGGTTTTGAAGATCAATATTGGGAATGTTTTCAACTGATTAGAACTCCTGTTTGGGTTCCGGGGCCCCATTGTGGGGAAAACAAGAATAGACCCACTGCCTCCCCAAAAGCATGTCGTAAGAGTCGACTAATTGGGGAGCTTCCTTTGAAGTCGGAGTGCATCTGCCAGAGAGGCAAGGAACCAACATTCTGTATTCAAGAGAATGAGATCTGTAAAACTGATGCACACACAACACTCAGGTTCTGGAGCAGGACTGCAGTTCAGTAGTGGACGAGCAACCAGAACTTTCCGCCAGATTTTACAGCTGTTAAACAAGAAGAGGAATAAGAAGAGAACTGATTAGAACAGAAATATGGAAGTATTGAGAGCTGCACTATCATCTGAAAAGACAACAAAGTGCTTCCCCGTCCCCTTTCCCACAAAAAATGTGCAGGTTTCAGGTGTTTTCTTTTCTTAGTATAATTATTCGCTAGCTGTAAATTGTGACAGAAAGTTCTGGTTGTTAGTCTATTTCTGGACTTTAGTTGTAGTCATGGAATGGCCGTAACCACCCTTACCTACACATTGGGTTATTCGTGACTCTATTGCCCCTAGTGGCGAGGTCACATGTAAATATAGACCCGTCCAGTGGGTATATAGTCCATGGTGTCTATTTACACCTTCGCATGATGGAATACATATTTCTGTATGTTCTGAATCTCTTGAAATGTCTACATTTTCAAACTTACAGTTGAAAGTTAGAGATTCTTTGTGTTATTATTCTTAATCCAATGGGATGATTCACACCTCGGCGCACTTCTTCTGCTAAAGTGACGGGACCATTATCCTCTCATTCTCTGCCCGACCGCCAAGAAGAACTGACGTTCAAAACTTTGATGCTTACTTTTGTACTCTGAGAGGGCGGCTTTTGCCTCCAGGACATTTCCTAAAGCTTGGGTAAGTTTAGAGTTTACGAGTACCATGTATATCTATATATTTACCCCGCTGCTGAGGAGAAGGATGAATCGGCTATGAGACATTACAGAGTGAGACTTTTCTTGGTGTCAAAATGATCACTGCCACCTAAATCAAACCTTCCCCTTTTCAAGCTGAGATTATGTGCACTACCAAATCCAACCCTAGTATCAATGATTTAATCTAGCAGCCCATTCGTTCCATAACTAACTAGTTGCGAAAATGGTTGCCGATCTAGTAACCGGCAGATTAATTGGGTCAGCACACAGTTTCACCGAGCGGCTGGGGACAGGCAAAGTGACGTCAGGGCATATTTATAGTTAACTCAGGTACACACACTGGGGGAACCTGGAGGACTAGAGTCAACCTGTGGGAAATGTGACATACATATGTGTGTGAGTGGTAGTCTGTGTAACTACAGGGGCAGATATGGATGTAGAGATATGGTGTTCTCTATCTGAGAGACTTGTCTGTCTGTCTCCATTGTTGAACTTGTCTCATACCTCTTCTACTGACTGACTGTCCCTGGTGCATAGAGGCTAATACAGTCTCATTATCCTGAGAGCTGTCCTCTGAGTGATTATTAAGTGTGGGTAGTGATAACATGAGCTAAGCATATGAATTGTGAGATGACTGCTAGTTCTGGGTTCCTTCTTGTCACAGAATGATATATCCTTGGAAGCCAGGCAGTTAATCAACAGTCCATAAAGCCACCAGCTCTTCTTCACCACTAGCAGGTCAGAAGACACAAACATGGCTGCTACACTATCACCTATCCTAGGTCCAGTGAGTGATGAATGCTGCCAGTGACATTCCTAGTGCCAGAGAAGCCTCTCAAGGAGCTGGTTCATGCATCCAGCAGTAGAGGAATAAGTGTTTGACTTTATTTTTGATATAAACAGTGGTTCATAAAACTTAATTCTTCAGTGACATAACCATGTGCACAGTGTGATTGAACATTTCTGGGAGTGACAGCCATTCCAAGCGACCATGAAGCAAGCAGGAGTGTAGGGGACCAGACTCGGACACAGATCAGTGGGAACATCTGATGGTTCTGTGCCAGGCTCTGATGTTCAAAGTCCATATAATTACTGTGATGTAACCGGCTGCCTCTGGGAACTTGTAGCAGTATCAGTCAGATCTACTGTGTCTATGGTTTCTGAAGATCACTGATTCCAGTGAATCCTTTTTCCTGATTCATGATGTATATGTTAAACTGATTACATGTCTTTGGAATTTTTCAGTCTTGATTTAGTGTCCATCCTTCACTGTTCTTAGCTGTCTGGGGTGTATGTAGTAATAAATTAGATCTTATTCTGTGTTAACATGACTATGACAGTCAACTATCATAGTCTGGGGGCTATTTTCTTGTAGTAGTGGGAATGTATATAAATAAAATATATATATATATATTCTGTAGTGCCATAACTTGTGTTGCCTCACCCCTGAAATAGGTTGGATGTGTATAGTGGCCGTGGGATTCCGCCTTGACCATTACGAGCCGACATTTTAACATTAATACTATTTCAGAGTGCTGTTGGTTCCTTAGGAGAAATCCTTAACTAGGCACGTGACGCGAGCTTTTTTGCATGCAGACTGTTGGTTCCTTGCCTCTGAGTCAAATACACTCCTTCAAAGAAAAATACCTTCATTAAATACTTGAAAGAGGTGGGGTAGATCTATTCTATTCTATCCCTTAACATAGAACCCACTTGGGAATGCAAGTATTATTAGATGAGCCATCAAAAATATAAGGGAAAGGTAAATTAAACCTGACGAAACATCCATCAAAAATCAGGGAAGGGAAAATAACATTGATGGATTTACCGCTTTTCAATTCATCCCATTTGATTGTCCTCAGCCATTTGTTTTCGAACGCATTTCAACAAAAATAATTAAATATTATTTATTCTTATGTGGAGGTTGAATATTCTAAATAATGGTAACTTTGTTTATGTGTCTGTGTGGGGTGCAAGCATTGACAACATTGCTTATGTGGTTGTGTGGAGTTCAGACAACAAATGTCCTTGTTTAGCAGTATGTGGCTGGAACACTCCTCCTGTGGCTGTATATGACTGAAACACTCCTGTGGCTGTATGTGGCTGAAGCACTCCTCCTGTGGCTGTATGTGGCCAAAGCACTCCTGCTGTGGCTGTATGGGGCTGAAGCACTCCTCCTGTGACTGTATGTGGCTGGAACACTCCTCCTGTGGCTGTATGTGGCTGGAACACTCCTTCTGTGGCTGTATGTGGCTGGAACACTCCTCCTGTGGCTGTATGTGGCTGGAGCACTCCTCCTGTGGCTGTATGTGGCTTGACCACACCTCCTTTGGCTGAGTGGGGTTTGGAAAATTGCTATAACATTCCTTGTGAGTCTGTGGGGAG